GGCCAGACCCGCCCGGGGCACGTCCCCAGCGCCGAAGGCTACGCCGGAGCTCCGGGTAAGGCTCCCAGGCTGCCGGGCACAGCTGAGCCCGCGGGGCTGAGGGAACCCCGAGGGCGCTGTGGGTCATGGCTCCAAAAACTTAGCTCCCCGGAGGTGCTGTGGTCCCGAGTCCTGTTCGTGCTAATCACACCCCGGAGCCTGGGGTGCCCTGGGCACAATACATTGTACTTAGAAATAGATTTGCCCCAAGGGCTGGAATTCCTGCGCCTTGCAGGCAGCTCATCCCAGCAGGACGTGCACCTGGGCAACCAAACGCGTCCTGGGAGCTCCTGTGGCGGCAAAGTCAAGCTGCACATCAGAGTGCGAAGCCGGAAGTGTCTGGCTCCAACCCCAAATGTGTCTTCGCAAAGCTCAGCTCCTTCAGCCGCAAAGGGAGGGTAATAATAGGAGTACTGCAAGAATGAAGGGAAAAAGCCCAGTTTGGTGCTTGGCTACTAAGTGCTCTGTGGGAGTTGTGAACGTCAGCACATAGGGGAGGTGGAAGTGGAGGTGATGGTGGTGGAGGAGGAGGAGAAGTCAGGTAAAGTCTGGCAGGAAAAAGAAAAAGGGGCATTAGTGTGCCAGAAAGTGAACTAGGTGCTTGATCCCCTGTAGCTCTCTTGACAGCGCTGTGAGGGTGATGTTCTGTTTACAGATGAGGAAACGGAGGCTCTGCGCTATGACACGTAAAAAAGTGAGGTTGCTTGGAGCAGGTCATGCCAGCTGGCACAGGACAGTGCAAATCAGTCACCTTAGAGTTAGACCAAGCTGACAGTCGGGGGCACCCAGCCATGCGCAGGGACAGCCTGCCTGAAACACCGTGGCTGTGTTCCTTCTCAGCCATCCCAGGCTTCAGTGATCACAGCTCTCAGGCAGATGTGCTGCCTCTTCTAAGACGACAGGTTTCCACCTGTTAGTTCCATATATCATGGATGCTTATATTCTGCTGGGCTATTCGTGCATTGTCCATCCTTCCACCCACCCACCCATACAACAAACACTGTCCAATCTTGCTGGGGCAAGGCCAGTGAATAGCCAGTGCTCCTGGAGGGCCTTCTCCCTGGCTGGGGCCCCAGGACTCTAGTCCACCTTTTTCTTCATGTTCCCCAGCCAGCTAGTCCTGACAGCCGTCACTGCCCAGGGAGAAGAGGGCTGTGGAGGAAGCGGGTACAGCAGAGTGCCTCTGCTTCTGGGAAGGAAGCTTGGAGTGGGTGCCGTTGGGTCTACTTAAAACAGTGAGGAACAGGGAGAAAAGGAGGGGCTTAGAAAAAATGACGTGCTGTGTAGGGTTTTGACCTTTGTGCACCTGCGTTTTCTTTTTCAGGTTACCCCAAGTCACCACCTGTAGCCTCCTCAGGTACGTCAGCCAGGCGGCCAAGGCGAGTTGTTGTTGGCAGCCCCCGTCCCTCCCCTGCCTGCCCTGCTTCCCCACTCTGGGCCATTAGCACGGCTGGAGCCTGCAGCCCAGCCCTTCCCCGCCACCAGCTGGGGCACAGGGCCTCTGAGGACTCAGGCCCCCCAAGTTTGCTCCTCAGAGAGGGTGTAAGTCCTGCCCGAGACAAGGAATTTCCCCTCCGACGTCACCCCAGCTCGTGGAGTTTCCCGAGGGCCGCAGGGTGGGCCTCTGCCGGGCGTGGCCTTGAGCAGCTTCCTGGGTGTCTGGGCTTCACTGGCTCTTCAATAAGGGAGCAACTTCGTAGATTATTCCCATCACCCACTACTTGCCCAGCCCTGTCCCCCAACACACCCCTCCGCACCTGTGTAACACGGCACCACGCACACGCAGAGCCCCCCGCACACGCAGCCTCATGCATATGCAGTCCCAGCAAGTCCCTGCCCAAGCCCCCGGCCTCCTGTACATCTGACCCGGACACCGTCAGGCCCCGGTCTGGGGGTCGGGGTGGGGTGTCCACATTGAGGTGAATGAGAGGGCGAGGCTGCCTCTGGGGATCCGCACCCAGGCCTCGGCTTCGGGCCTGACCACATGCCTGTCCTCTCTCTCTGCCCAGGGGTTCCAGTGCCATCTCTGGTGTCCTTCTCTGCCGGCCTCACCCAGAAGCCTTTCCCCAGCGATGGGGGAGTCGTCCTGTTTAACAAAGTGCTGGTGAACGACGGGGACGTGTACGACCCCAGCACCGGTGAGTTCTTGTGCGCACATGGCCTGGCGGTGAGTGGGGGTGGTCGCAGGACGGTGCCCAGCCCTGAGGTCGGCTCAGTGGTGCTGGGGGACTCTCGGGGTGCGGGGAGGTTGTCAGGAGGGCCCCTCCCAGCTGCCCCTCTTTCTCTGTCATCCTGACACCACACCCCTCCTCGCCTCTCGCAGCATTCCTGGTCTCCCAGGAACTGAGCCCCAGATGGGCCAATGTTCTCTGCGAAGCTAGTGGGGATGGGAGCCGGTTAGCTTCCCACCAGCCCCCAGGCTGCTGTCCTCAGCGGGCAGACCCTTCCTGCCAGGCCTGACACAGGTGTCTGCGGGAGTAGGGACAGGGCCCCACTGACCTGCTGAGGTCCCCAGGCCCAGGGGCAGCCCCCAGGGAAGAGTGACTCCAGGGGCCTGGGCTGGAGGCGGGGCGGCGTGCGTGGTGGCCGGGACTCTGCGAGGCCCCTGGAGACAGGCAGAGATGTGAGCCTTGCCGAGGCGTCAGCCAGGTCCTCAGGTTGGAGCGAGGCCCTGCAGAGCCAGGAGAAATGGAGCTCCTGGCCCTGGGCCCCCTGGAGTGAAGCCATATTGCCATTATTTCTAACCCGTTCCTGAGGCTGGGGGTGTGCAGGGCGGCTTCGCTTTCTGCTCCAGTCTGGCTTCCTGCGGCGACTCTCGCCATGCGGCCTGGGTTGTGGGGACAGCGTGTCTGCTCTGATGGGTCAGGTGATCGCTGCAAGCAGGGATGGCAACCTCCATTTCTCTTGTGTTCCCAGGATGCCCAGAAACATCCTCTCTCCCGCAGGTCAGGTCTTCAGTAAAGAGCTTGGGGGAACCCCGAACCCAGTCGCAGGCCATGTGCCCAGAGTGCTAGGGCCCAGTCTGTCCCTGGGGCTTTGAATCACAAGCTGGGGAGGGGAGCTGGCTGGTCTGGCAGGTTTCAGGCAGGTTAAAGACGCAGGCTCCTTGGGTTCCATCTTGGCTCTTGGCCTGTGGTCGGTGGCCCAAGTCTAGTGCCCCCCTGAACCCTGGGCAGTGGCCACTCCTGAAAGTATTTGGTCTGAGCTCCCATTCTGGGCTCTGGGGCCACTGGCAGCTGCTGTGCAAATGGACATCATCTGCAGACCTTCCCTCCCCCTGACCGCACCCTGCTTCCCCAGCCCCAGAACGTGCGGGTCGTTGGCTAAGTGCCAGCAATGTTCTGGCTGTGCCTGGACCCTGGTCCAGCAGGGAGGCCGGCTGTGGCTACGTATTTGGTTCAGTCTCTTCTTCCTGCGTTAGTGACAGGTGTTGTGGGGGTGTTTGGGGTCTTGCCTCCTCGGAAAATGGCAGTGGTGTTTTGTGGCTATTATGCCCATGAGGCCGATTCTAAGTCGGCCTTGGGGTGCTTTCAGGGATGGAGAAAACTCCCCAGAGGTGACCAGGAAGGGGGAGCTGCTTCCTTCCCACAGGACCTTAGGTGAGGCGGGAACAGGCCTGCGTGCGCAGTAAGAGGCCAGTTTGTCCTCGGGCTGCTGCTGGGCCTGTGCGAGTTACTAATTATACCAAATCCCGGGGTTCCTGCCGCACCTGGCCTCTTCTGGGTGTTCCACGCAGAAGACAGAGGGTCTCGTGTGGGGGCTGGCTCAGTGGCACGGAGCAGCACGGCTTTGGATTAAAAAGGGGCTGTGTCCCCTGAGCCGGCCGGCCTTCTGTGGGGAGGGGACCAGGGCTTTGAGCCCACAGTGGGTGATCCTGGGCCAACCCAGGTGGCTGGTCTGCCTTCAGCCCGGTAAAGTGACGCCCTGTCGCCGGGGGCTGGGATGGTGTCACGTGCACACAGGTGTATCCTTCCGTCTCCACCCCAGGGATCTTCACAGCTCCGTACGATGGGCGCTACCTGATCACGGCCACCCTCACTCCCGAGAGGGACGCGTACGTGGAAGCCGTCCTGTCGGTGTCCAACGCCAGCGTGGCGCAGCTGCACACGGCCGGCTACCGCAGGGAGTTCCTGGAGTACCACCGGCCGCCGGGGGCCCTGCACACCTGCGGGGGCCCGGGGGCCTTCCACCTCATCGTGCACCTGAAGGCGGGCGACGGCGTCAACATCGTGGTGACGGGGGGCAGGCTGGCTCACACGGACTTTGACGAAATGTACTCCACGTTCAGTGGGGTTTTCCTTTACCCTTTCCTTTCCCACCTCTGAGGCGGCCGGGGGAGGGAAGGGCGACAGCGGCAAGAAGTCGGAAGCTTTAATATATTGCATTTTTGTGCGGACCCGGGGCCCAGGTCTAGTTTTCTGCAGACTCCCCCTCCCCCGAAAGAAAGGCCGCTCCCAGCTGCGGAGGAACTGCGGGGCGCAGGGCTCCTGCTGCCGCTCCAACCCCACAGCCGGGAGCCCGCCCTCCCGTGTCTCCGGCTCCGCCTGTGAGCTCTGGTCCGGGCTGGGGCTCAAACAGCGGTGGCGGTGGCGGGCTGGGGGACCAACCTGCCGGTGGAGGAGGAGGAGCTGCCGGGTCCTGCCCGAGAGGAGGCCGGCCGGCCAGAACTGGTCCCCATGGCCACAGTCTTTACTGGAGCAGAACTTTGTCCTCCTCGACTGTGCGTGCAGGAGGAGTGTAAACACTGAAGTGGCTAGTGCCACCACAGACCTAGGGTGACTGGGCTGCCCCAGGTCTGGCTCCCCCCGCTTCCCCCTCCCTCCCTTCCCCCGTGTCTGCCCGGCCATGAGGGACGCGGGAGAGACTTTATGTGGCTTGTTGAGCTCCTTGAATGACATGTACCACTTTAGCGCAAAGACAGGGAGTGTCAATAAAGACGCGAAACCACTTCAAGTTGCTGCAGTCTGGTGCCTTATGGATCGAGGGGCTATTGCTGAAAAGCAAACTGCAGAAGGTAAATGACTTTTTCTAATTGCTGTAGAAAGTAAGTTTGAATAAATTAACCTCAACCACGTTAACTGTCAGGTCTCAGCATCCAGGCTGTGTGTACACTTGGGGTTTTGGGTCTTGTTTCTGGCCTGTGAAGACAGAGCAGATGTGCTTGGCGCTCAGAGCCCCATGTGAGCCCCACAGCTGAAAGGGGGGCCCCTCCCGGGGATGCTGGAAGTTAATCAGCAGCTGCCTCACTCACCGCACACGCAGCTCTAAGAACACGAGGTCCCAGGCAACAGGAGGCCCAGCACAAAGCTGGTCACGCACTGAAAGCTGAGCTCGTCTGAGGAATCTTCCGACGGAGAACATGTCACCAGCGGCCACTCCAGCCGGTCCTCGCTGGTCAGGCTGGTAAAATCCGTTGGCCAGTCAAGTCCCCCAGACCCCAGGGAAAGATGGGGATGAGAAAAACCGTTTCCTGGCCTGAATCAAGCCACCAAGATACTCTTAGGGTTCCTTGGCCTGAATCAAGCCACCAAGATACTCTTAGGGTGTAAAGGTTAAAAAAGAAAAAGAAAAAATGCTTTTGAATTTCCAGGACGGCGTGCAAATGAGATGAGTGGGTGGCCACTGGATCCTGCAGAGAGAAGCCGCCTTCCTTCAGCCCTCCCCTGGCTGCAGAGGAGGAGCAAGAACCCGAGGTTTGCTGTTTCAGCATTTTCAAGTCTGGGCCTCTCGGTCCAGGGCACGGGGGTGGGGGCGGCATTCTCACCCTGTCTCTACAGCGGGGGAGCTGGCTCACGGTGGCGGTTGCTGTCACTGGCTTCCTGGAGGTGACTCATCGAAGAAGCCCCGGTGCAGGGGCTCAGGGTCAGGAAAACCCAGCTGGCACGTGCACCTGCTTCTGTCTGCTCCCCTGGCACCCGGTTAGGGACCCTACCCAGGGCCAGAGGGGGCACGTGCTCCAGAGCCCGAGAGGCTGGGACAGACAGAAGGTAGCGGTCCCCTTCCTCAACTCCACAGACTGTGTCCTAGAGCACCGTGTCAGACGTGGTCCTCCTCAGAAGTGCACCCTGACTCTCACACTTTAAGAGGAATTTCAGCTCTGCGTAGCCAAGACAGGCACAGGAGACTAGCTGCAGCAGGCCCTGCTCTGACTACAAGATAGAACAGGATGAAGGCTGGATCGTGGCTCATCAGGAGTCAGCCTCTTGAGAAGGGGAAGAAAGAAAAGCGCAAGGTGGGCTGAGCGAGCCCCGGAGCAGCTCCATCCAGAAGCTGGCAGCCTGGTGCCGTGTGCCCGAGGGTGAGACGTGGAGCCAGGCCCTGGGGCTCGAGCACAAGGTTATGAACCCTGAAATCACGGAGCTGCTGAGAAAACGGCCAGGGGCTGCTTGAGACAGTACCATCAGGTACCTGGTACCCACGGATACCATCGGCAAATGGCCTCATTTAAATAACGAGAAACAACAAAACCATACCAGCAATGAAGACTGCAAGTCTATGCAAACTGTGCTTGAAATGATTCCCAGGTTAGTGCGCTGACCTTTCTCAGCGACCCTCCCATCTTCTGAACAGTTTCTCACAACTTGCAGTTTGAAAGGAGTGTCTGTGGTCAGACACAGCCACGTCCACACCTGTAGCTCTGCAGTGCTACTTTGCACGTGTCCACATCCACTTCCCAACCCGCATGTAGTCTTCCCGTCCCACCAAGGGGGAGGACACGGCACGTCTGCGAGGCACAGGGTGCAGCGGGAGGACGCGGCGGGGACAGGCCCTCCCTGAAGTGCATGGAGCTATTTCCTGATAATGAGCTCTTCCTTTCTGTTCCCAAAGTTCAGCCCAAAGAGCCGTGGCTCCCTTCACCCCGACCCGCTGTCCCCGCCCAGCCATCATGTGACAAACACGTACAGAATCTTTCCACCCTCGGGGGCGCACACTCAAGGGGCTGTGGGGCCACCGTGTTCTGCACATGCAGCATCTGGGGGCTCAGCCGCTGAGGGGGTAAAAGATACTCATTTAAGTAACACGTAGGATGCAGGTTTTGATCTGGGATCACTCTGACTCTCCTAAAAGCTGATGAGAACATCAGGATGGTGAAGCAGTGTTCACCCAGAGGGAGGGTTTGGTGCGGGGTGGGGAGGCCAGGGCTCTGAGACGAGTCTCGGGACCCCCGCAGGGCGGAGGGGTGAAGCAGCCCCAGGCCTGAGCAAGACCCCGCCAGGAACTCCATATGGATGAAGAACGACTCACTCCCTGGAGGAACCTACAAAGCAAGAGAGGTTAGTTCCTATGGGTGGAGCCTCACTTTTGGAGTCAGGTTTTATAAAAACAAGCACCAAAAAGAAGTGCTTTCTGTACACAAACTTAAGTGTCAGCAGAGGTCAAAATGCTAATTTATGGAAATTATCAAATGCTGGCAGGAGTACAGAGAAAACGATTCAAATGTCCTGTGAAGGAAAGTCAGATGCATCCAGTTTACGTTTGTTTATTGTTGTAACATTTTGTTTTGAACATCAAACACTGCACCAAAATATGAGCCATTTATCTTGACAGCTGTCTTTGCCATAAACTAAGTACTGAGCTGATGTTTACAATTAATTTCTGACAACTTAAAATGTATTAGTGGCATTGCTAATAATTAAACATCATAGACTGAATGTAATGATCAAATTAAAAGAGTAACGTTTCTCCTTCCCTTTCTTACCTTGAAAACAAACCAAAAAAGTAGTTTTCACCAGGGAAGAGCACTTACTTGAAACACAAGCTCAACTTTAACCAGTCTCATTAAACCCAGCGTCCTCTGAAACGGGAAAACCAGGCTCCCCAGAGCAACTCCGGATACTTGAAAGGATGACAAACTCCCCGGGAGAGTCCGTTTTTACCAACTTGCAAAAAAAGAAAAATTTCCTCTCTGCCTGTTTCTCCAGGTCTCCCGCACCGCCAGCCCGTGCGCACTTGAGGGCACGAGCGCTGGCTGGGCATCGAGCTGGCCGCCACTCCCAGATTGTCAGCAGCTTTCCTTCCAGGACGTCACACTAGTGAGTTTTTCCTTTTTCCAACTGAAAACTATGTAGATGTTTGAAAGCACTGCGAACCGGTCTTCCCACTTGGGGCGGAGCCCGCGTGCTCCAGGCCCCACGTGTACTCCTAAGCCCACAGAGATGTGGGTGTGACACCGCTGCCGTGCCAGCCTCAGCACGAGGACACCAGGGCAGGTATTAAAGTCTGGTTGGGCTGGAAAGAGGGAAGGGGGCCACGGCCATTTCAGCAGCAGAGCAACGGGGAGAGTGACACCGACAAGCCACGTCCACCCGGCCCCCCCGGGATGCGGCCCAGGGCGAGCGCGGGGGCCCCCCTCCTTCGCTCACCCCGCGACGGGGTCTGTGTGCACACACTGAGGGCATCTCTCTTTCACAGAAAGAACAAATGTCATTTGTACCAAATGGCAATGGGTTTTCAGCACAAACTTACTACTTTCACAACACTATTGTCATAGTGATCACCTACTTTCCGCAAGAGGGACTCCTTTAAATAAGAAAGAAAGAAAAAGACTGTTAATTAGCATATGTACCGGCTAGATCCACCTGCAGCAACAAAGTGACCAAGTCCAGAGCTGATGGTCAGCAGGCTGCAGGCTCGGCTCCCCTGCGCAGGGCCAGGAGACCTGGGTTCCCAGGCCCCACCCTCCAGAAGATGCCCCCGCGTCCAGAGGGACCACCTTAGCAGGAAAGAGACCGTCTCATGGGGACTCTTCAAAGGACAACCAACCAACCAAGGACTATGGAAGGTGCGTGCGCGCACTCTCCATCCTGCTCACAGGCCAGGAAGCCCCATGAAGCTCAGGGTAAGTGCGTAAAACGGATGGGGTGAAGGCAGGCCGACGGTGTCCAGGAGGTGAAGTAACCGCAGGGCCGCCATGCTAGGAATTCATTTCACTAACTGGGCAGAGCATCACAGAAACATAACCTGGTCTCCCTGACCTACTGGACACAAACTTTCAAAAGGATGAGTCCCTGAACTACGCACCGTGGGAAGATTTGCACCGGAGAAAGCATGTATGGTTCCTCCTCTGGGAACAGGCGTTTCCAGGCTCAACCACTGCAAACTGTGTTCGGGAGACTTTGCCACTGTCCGTGTCCAACAGCACAAGGGAAAACGGCTGAACTGAGTCGGACACGTTCAACTCTCCAATCTGGAAAGATGACCACCCCCATTTCTCCACCTCTAGATCAGTGTTATTTATTTTGGTGGCGCCAGCTGCAGTGCGGAGTGCCCCCCCAACACAAGCACAGGGCAAGTGAGGGGACGGGGGCCGGGGGCCTGGGTCCTGGGTCTGCGCCGCGGTGTGGCCACGCACCCTGTGCTCGAGTCTTGCCCGGCGCAGGGCTGTAGGGGGTCATTTTCAGTCCTCCAAGAGCCTCCTCTCTAATGTTGCTCCTGATTTTAACATTTTAACCAGCCTCACCTCTAAGCCTGTGCTTACAGCTCTGGAGGGACTCAGGACAGAGCCCTTCCCTGGGGCCGTCTGCTGGGCTGACACACTCATTACAACCAGACTGGGACACTGAGCTGCTGACAAAAGGGACGGAGAAAAGGACCCTTCCCAGGACCCGTAACAGGTGCACCCCTGCACTTCCAAGGCTACCTTGCAAACAGAGCTGTTCCTCGTTGTTTGACCACCTGCTCCTGCTGGGCTGCCGGGGCTGCCCTTACGGACACACCCTGCGAGACCCGCTCCTTCCAGCTGCTCCAAGACACGACACGACACTCCAGGGCCTCCCACCTGGAGTGGTCGCTGGGGAGAAGGCAGTGATCTAAGGGCCTTGTCTTCCCCAGAAGCCCATGACGGTCGCTCTGTTTCTGCGGAGCAGGGAGGGAGCAGCCCACAAAAGAAATGTGCAGTCGGTTCGGACCAGCCTCACTAAGTGGACCCTGATGCCCTGAAGAAGGCCCTCAGTTCAGAGAGAAACACTCTCAGCCGCCCAGGGGGAACGTAACACTTTACTCTGTGCAAGTTTTGGTCCAGTCTTAGCTGCTGCTTCCTTCCTGGTAAATTCTGCAGTGAAAAGAGCACCCAGTCCACCACTCGACTCCGTGTGGGAGAGGACCAGCCAGCGACAGGAGCCAGGCCTCCAGCCTCAGGTCTGAGTGCCCCTCCCTGCTCCGGCCCGGGCACCCAACAGTGGCCCTGCCCAACCTGGGAGGGTGAGGAGGAGGGCAGCTCCAGCTCCAGGAGCTCCCAGGTCCCCGCCAGTGCCCGACTGTCAACGCGTCTTGTCCCACACCTGTGGCTGGGAGGGAGCCCCGAGTCCTCTGTCCAGCAGAAAGGCCGGTCCCCTCCGCCTGCTGCGAAGTGAGCAACGGAGAGCCTCCCGCTGGGGTGCTGCCTCAGGCCAGGTCGTCCAGGTCCACCTCGGGGATCGGGTCCCGCCAGTAGCAGAAGGAGCTGAACTCCGGGCATGCAAAGGCGGAATTCTGTTCCTTACTGAGAAGTGGGAACACGTGCTCCACCAGCTCGCTCAGTCTGTGGTACCTGGGAGGGGGTTTGGGGAAGGAACGCACAAATCGTTACTTGGCAGTTGACCTGAGAGCACCAGACAGCAGGCTGGGAACCCGGTTACTCAGAGTCCTCAGACCGGAGGATCCCTCCTTCCCAGGGCCCAGCCACCCTCCTCAAAGTCTGGGAGACCCGGCAGTCGCATAAACAGCTCCTGTGGAGGAGGGGACAGCCTGGCAGAGGGGAAAGCCTGCACAGGCAGGTGCGGCTGGTACCCTCTCCCCGGCTGCCAGAGGTGAGGACGCACTTACGATGATTTGTTTCCTTTGGTCCTTTCCTGTATCAGTTCGCCCTTGGGGTTCACGGTGAATATCCTGCAGTCTGGAACTCCAACTTGCATGTAAGCATAGACATCCTGCAGCCAAAGACATCGAGCGCTGATCACAGAGAGGAGAGAGGAGCAGATGCTCCTCCAGCCCCGTGGGAGCCAGAAGCAGCACATAAACAGAAGACCATGTATGGAAAACCCAGTGCAGCTTTGCCACTGAAGCCGAGCTTTCAACAAACACACGCTAAGGAGTGGAGCCAAGCCCAGGGGGAGCTCAGGAAGTCAGAAAACGTGGGCGCCAAGACGACGCCAGGGGCCCTGGAGCAGGGGAGGGGAGCGTTAATGAAGGGGGCACTCGTGCCCTGGTTCTGTGGCGGATCCGAGATTTGGCTTAGAGTCACTTAGAACATGAGCCAGAACCGCCTGGGGAAATGGAACTGAAGCCAGAGAGACAGAGAAAGCCCCTTCGTCACCTGGGCAGACCTCCGCCAACAGGACATCCCACTGCTGGGAAATTCACAGCAGATAAAGTGAAAACCCATTTAGCAAGAGACATTCATTCGGCTTATACAACTGGTCTGAGAATCACGACGTGGCTCTACCCTGGGAGTACAGGCTGGGTGTGGCCCACCACACTGGAACGTGCCGCAGGACACTCACATTTGGACGGTTTCCAAAGGCAGCATAGAAGGGCTGCTTGGACGGGGCAAACAGATTCTTGATATCATTCAGACATTCAATTTTGAACTTCTCTGGTTTCTTTTCTATTACTTCTCTAGGGGGAAAAATACAAGCATAATCACCAAATCGAAAATGGAAGTTGTCCCTGGTGAGCAGTCCTGAAAGACGTCAGTGCTCAACCACCCGATCGTTTTAATCCTTCGTAACTGTTATTTTTCTTTCTCCTCCTTTGCCGACCTGACTTTCCTCGGCCGTGTCTGACACAGACCAGGTGAGCTGTGCGCGAGGCAGAGTGCCATGCGAGACACAGGAGCTCTGAAACAGTGCGGTCTGCCCAGGACACAGACGCACACACACACGCACGCGCGCACAGAGGCACCTGTGGAAGGCGGAGAACAGGCTGCTGGGTGACAGCATCAGGGGGCCCCGGGGCAGGATGGTGCCCTTGTCGTTGACCCAGTGCAGGTAGCCGCGGGTCATGTCGGCCATGCCAATGGCGCGGGCGGAGCAGTACAGGAACTTGTAGCCGTTCCTGGAAGAGAAGGCAGCTGTTGAGCCCCAGTGCTTTGGCTAAAGGGGGAAAAATGCATTTTTCTTTTAAAGGGTCCAAAGAAAGTTCCTCTCATTTACTGTGAAAATCTAATTCCTAAATTTAACAGGAAAATCTTTAGAATTATAAAGGTCTCACCAGTCCATGAAAACACCATGGGGAAAAAAATGGTGGTATTGTAACCAGGTCTTATGCTAATTTACTAGTAATGCTGCGTCTTCAAGAACTTTGTCCGTGAAAGCCAGGTGCGGAACAAAAATGTCGGGCTATCTTTAAATGATCTGCTATAAACAAAAGATACAAATGATCTTATTCATAAAGACAAATTTCCAGACTGCAAATCATTCTATGAAACGAGGAGCAGAACTTTCCCCAGGTAACTGAAACACGCATAATTTTCATACGGTGTATGATGTTCTCAACTAGCGCTTAAGATGCTGTAATTTTGCGGATCTAAGTTACATGTATTAGGATCACGCAAAGGCCACGGTGCTGTTTCCTCACAGGAAGTACTGACCAAGAGGAAGGACCCCAAGGTAAACGGTTTCCCTCGTGCATGTATTACCTACTTGAAGAAATACAATGAAAAATACTTAACTAAAAAAATGAAAATTGGCTCTCTTGTTAAATTACAGCTAAAAACTCAATTACAGCTGTAGACACAGGGAGGGCAGCGTTGTGACAATGAGACAATGGGGGTTACACGTGGGAGGTGTCGCCAAGCGCACGCTCACGCTCCATGGATGGGGGCTCACACTTTTCCCTGCATGAGGCTCAGGAGGGCACGGGGAGGACTGGGAAGCTGGACCTGCCTGATGAATGCTATTTCTCCGTAGTTCTTAAAGCAAAAGTCTAGCTCACTAGACACGTGGTCGGGACACCTACTCATTGATGGAATGGTAGAGCTTCGCAATCCCCTGATGAGTCCAGTCCTTCCCCAGCTGTGGAAGGATCTGTCCCAAAGCATCAGACCTAAGAGGGTAGAAAGAAAGGTATCAGGAATTGAGCATACAAAGCCTGTGTCTTCCTGTTCAGTTAAATACCAGCTGTCAGCAGCCGCCAGGTTTGGGGTGGGGGGCAGACGAGGCTTCGCTGGCCTGTGTGACAGGCCAGTAAGTACACCAGCCAGTCTGATTCCAAATGTGGGATCAGACACGGGAGCCAGATGACCATTTTCAGAGACAATTTACAACCACACGTCCCCCTTTTTCCCTGCCAAATCTCAACAGCTTCTCCCTCCCCGACCCACGCCAGAATCTGGAGACCAAATAACTTAAGTCCTTCCAGAAGTTATTTCTGATGTTACATCGGTGCAGCCCCACCCATCTCCTCCATCCGTACAATGACTGTGGACCACACTGAGGGCGCCTCAGCACAAACAGTGTAAAATCCCTCCTCAATGGCGGCCGGGTGTGGCCCCCCCGCCCTCCACACTGCGCTGGGCTCTCCCCGCCACCCCAGGCTCCCGCTCACTTGGTTATTGTGCCGTCGATGTCGGAAATGACGATCTTGTCGTTCCAGTCCCACAGGTAAATGGTGCCTGCACAGCGGCAGGTACCCTGATACTGGGTCGTAATACTGAACACGACGTCGTTGGGGCCATCTTGGAGCTTCAGTTTTGCCTTTTATAAAAAGTGTAAGAATAAACAAAATTAGAGACGGAGAGTGAAAATTAATGGCACATTGCTTTGATGGAATTACATGCAACAATTAAGTCTCATCTGCCAACAACATGTGGTCAGAGAGATGGCTGGAGATACAATGTTAAGCGAGAAAGGATCCTAATCTCTACAACACAAAATGTATGTGTGTGTGACAACACATGAAGAAATACAGAAACAAAGTAACTGTTTAAAAAAAAAAGGAAGAAAAAAAAACCCAGCTGAAAACACCCTTTTGGAACAGAACCCGGACAGTCACAAACCACCACCAGCGTTTCAGGACCCCAGCTCAGGGCAGGGCAGGGGCTCAGGCGAGGTGGGCTCAGCGGCCGCCGCCCGGACAGTGTGTCAGGTGCTAGGGACCCTGAGCCCCCACACGCAAACCGCTCTGCTCTTCCCCTGCACCTGGGGCACAGTGAGACCACTTCCTACGGAAATGGATAAGAGTCAGGGGGCAGGAAATTAAACAAGGAAATGTCACTTCTTTATGGTTGTGGCTTGTAAGAGACAGCGTGTGGCCCAGTGCCAGGCTGGATGTAAGATTCATCTGGGAAACAAGCTGAAAACACTGCTTTCCCGGTTCACTCCCAGAGACTGGAGTGGGCGGCCTGGGGGCAGGTGAGGGGAGTGTTCCAGGCTCCCCAGGTGGTCCTGGGCGAGGGGGCCGCCTTCCCACTGCGTGATTGGGCGTCCGCAGGACCACACACGGTGCGGTGTGCGGGAGATGCGAGATCGGGGACAGGAGACAGAAAACGCCCAACGGTGACTGAGCTAACACGGCCGCGGCCACGCGCGTCGCACACAACTCACGATCTGGTCCGACGAGAGGCGGAGAGACTTCTTATAGGACGTGGTGCTGCCGTGGCTTGGGGGCTCTGCAGGGAGGGGGTCTGCTTTGATGGACTCCTCAAGCTCCTGTGACCCCTCGTCACTTGACGAGTCATCCTCGGCTGGCCTGTTCAACATCAACCCGGTTGCCGACGGTAAGTAATGAGGACGCAGCAGGGCGCTGTGTGACCACAGCTTTTCATTTAGGATCAAGAAAAGCGAAAGACCCTAAGTCCATTCTGGAAGAGTCGCACCCCCAGGCCGTCTCCTCGCCTGCCCGTCCCTCCTCCGTCCCGCCACTGGCCGGCAGCTCCCTTCTGGCCGTGCCTGGTCATTTTCTGCTACAACCAGTGAATTCTACTAGGTCTGCTGACTCTTGTTGAAAAGATGCATTTCAAAAGGTACAAATTATAGAAAACATGAATGCTTATACTGATTTAAAAAACTAACAAGATTTTAGACACTCCTTTTCAAAGAAAAGGGTAAAGAACAAGAAGAGCAACCCGAGACTTAGGGGGTGGGAGGAGGGAAAAGGAATTGATTAGGGAAGAAACGCAGATGGCAGAAACAAGGATGGGGTGTGCTGGGCACCTCCCCTCAGGGCGGCCAGCCCAAACATCCACGTGGCCACTCCTCCCAAGGCAGGAAACGCGCCCACACAGCTGCCGTGACTGCTACGTCTCCCTGTGCCCCGACAGCTGGGCAGCAGGGGCCCCGGGGACAGCACACCCAGGACCCCCCAAGATCCCCTCCCCGAAGCCTGCGTTTCACAGGCACCCGAGTCCATGGCCCTGGGAAGGAGTGAGGTATTTGAGGAGCAGTGATGAGTATATTTACTCTAAGCTAATGCTGTTTCTAAAGCAAAGCAGAAGTTATCCTCTTTGAACTGAGCGGCACAATGAAGCCACTTACTGTCATGTGCATGTATAGGAAAAAGACATTTCTGGTTAAGAATTAAACAAAATTGCCCAAATCAACTTGACTGCAGTGGCAGAAGCAGAGGGAGCGAGGGCTGAGCCTGGATGGAACCCCGGGTGTCCCACCTGCCGCTGGCCGGCTCCTGTGCACTCGGCGGCAGGTCACTGGGCGGCGGCACCTCCGACTTCCCCTCCTTGGCCTCTGGCAGCTAGAACAGCAACACGGTAACGACAATGTGCAGGACTCCCCACTAACGAGCGACAATCCATCAGCAGCTCTCCGGAAATGAGCAGAGCTGCTTTCTGAATCCCCACCTGAAAAATGCTTAAGAAACCAACTCTCTCCAGTTTGAGCCAAAGGACAGAAACCCGAGAGAGACGTCACGTGCTGTCTGTGCAAAACTCTGCCACAGCAGTCAGGGGCGAGGCCTGACCACAGCGCGCCAGCCCGGGTCTCACAGCCCTCAGGTCCGAGCAGGGACACGGGCCTGCGCGACAGAGGGGACCGGCTCCCCTGCCGCCTGCGCGGGAGGGCGGCGAGCTCTGCTTCTCTCTGGAAGGCAGCACAGAACAGCACGGCGGGAAGGGCGCCGACTCCGGAGGTGGACATAAGGTCGAACCCCAGCGCCATCCCTCACCCGTTACGGGCCCTTGTTGAGCAGTGTCACCCCCATGTTCCAGTTTCGTCACCTGTACACTACCAGCATTGCTGGGCTGCAGTCCAGCTGAGAGGAGACGCAGGTCAAGCGCCCAGCGTCACACCTGCACGCCTAACTGCTCAGAAGTGGTGGCTGCTGTTACTGTCATAGAGCGTTACACACCCAAACTGACCTCCTTACACCTGGCAGAGAAGGTTTCTGAATAAATTAAAGATTCACTTCTTTTCAGCCCAAGGAAAGGACCACCTCCAGGCCGGTTACCTGTTTGGTTATGCTCTCTCTCTTACGCCAAAACCACCAGCGACCGGATTTCTTAGGCATCTTATCTTTGACCCAGGACTCCACCGTGGCCTGGAAACAATCACCGCGGGTTAGTCAAGTCATCCGGCGGTCATGGAGCACTCAGCCACTTCCCACCGTTAACCTGCAGGGTGGTGCCTCCCTACTGAGTGCGAGCAAGGCTCTGCACACCTCCCGAACGCCTCGCAGACACCGACGTGGTCCTGTCTCGTGGCACTTCTGAGGAAGCAGCCAGAGGGGCCAGCTACGCAGGTGCAGCCCCCGTGGGGGCGGGCAGGCGGGCTGCTCTCACTCCTCTACCTTGGGAAGCACCTCACGAGTTATGAGGACCAACGAGGTGGAGGTGTCTTCTTGGCGGACAGAGTCAAAGCAAACCTTCAGGTTCTACAGAACAGGCTTACTGACCGTAGCCTGAACTAACCACACTGCTTAGTTCAAGTCACGCTCCTGGGGGCCACGGCACCCTCTTCTTGCTGCTGCTTCCCATAGAGGAAACGTTTTCATTCATTCTATACGAACAATCAGTAAAATCTCTCACCCTTTATACACAGTCAGAAACTGGTATCAATACCTAGTGAAAATGACAAAGATGTGGCAGCCTGGCTGACGTCCTAGGTTTTTGGACATGAGATAATTTGAGTGGGCACACAGAACTTTTTGGATCTTTTATAATATTAATTTAAAAATACTAAATAAAAGTTTGAACAACACCCAGCTTAGAAATACGCACATACGGATTTTTCTAAGCACTGTCTGCTCTGTGGCGCCATCTCACCTTAGGCAGATTCTTCTGGAAGACCTGCAGGCTGAGGATCATGGGAGCAGCCAATGCCCAGCTGTAGTAACTGCGAGAAAAGAAAACCGTGCGAAACCGTCACACACAGAGGAGACGGCGAGGGAGGAAAGAAGGGGGCAGAGCGGGAGTGGTGGGGGGTGGGAAGAGGAGGAGAGAAAGGTAGAAATACCACATAAAATTCCTCTTGTTTTAAATGAAAAGATGATCAGCTAAATTTTTTTTGCCATCTGAGTAATCTTTGCTTCAAGCCAAACTTCTCTGAACAGAAAAAGTAGTAAATTCTATAAAGCAGAGTCACATTTCAATGCCTCCTTTAAAAATAAAGCTGAGGCTTTTCTTTCACTTCAGAGTCACGGCCCATCTGCATATCTATATGAGATGATGGCATATTTTACAGCAAGAAACACTGTAATAGTTAAAAACAGCACTTGGGGCAAAAAAACCCTGCCAAGGGTATCTAACAATTACAAAAGCAGTTTTTTGTATTTACCGGTTATATATCCGTATTACAAGGTTGGGATTGTCTATAAGTCCAGGGTTTTCTGCAAACTCATGATAAGTAATGATATGCTCCATGAACTTCTCTGCAATGTAAAATAATAATTATCCATTTGGTTAGAGATCACATAAATGCGCACAGGAGATTATCACAGCGCTCTCTACACTGAAGGGAGTATGAGATAAATAAAACCCCAGAAGCTAACTTTTCTATATGTATCAGAAACAAAATGTCACACACGGGTTTTTCCCCGGGGCAAGAACAAACACTTCTTTTCTACTCCCCTACCCTTCTGTAACTCCTCCCCCAATTGAAAAATAGAAAACAGAAAAACTAAAACAAACCAAAGAACCCACAAACAAACAAAAGAGAGAGAGAGAGAGAAAGGGGGAAAGCCAGAAACTCTTAGGAAGACAGGTACCAGATGTGGCCAGAGGGAGGGGTGGTCTGGAGGCGGGTGTGCACACACTCAACTCCACAACTAACAAAAACTGTGGGTCTCATTCTTATAAGCGGGAGAAGCTCCTTAACTGGCAGACAACTGTGTGACCGGGGACACGCGGGGCGCGGGGTGGTGTCTTATAGCTGGAAGGGCACACGCGCCTGCGACATTTGAAAGCACAGGAAGAACATCTGAAAATGCTTGGAGGGAAAAAACCACACGCCAGAATCTGGCTTCGGGTCTGTCAAGGAATAAATCCCAAGTTTTCGCAGAACAAACGAGGATTTCTGCATGAATTTTTGAACCGCGTTCCTCACCCTGCATGCTGAACAGGCCAACAGACACTTCTCACTGGGGCTGTTTCGCCTGGTAAGTTGTGTACAATTTACTTTTCTTGCCATTTCTGCTTCCCTCAATAACAAACTCTACCTAAGTTACCAGTATTTTTTAAAGCATAGATTTTATAGTTTATATAAATTGTATATCCCCTCCTCCACCTGTATTTTTTAAAGTGGGAGCTTATGAGGATTATAAAAAAAAGTGACCTATTTAATTTTGCCCCTAGAAGGAAGCACTGGCCGTAGCACACTCTTAATTTCTTGCAAAAAAAAAAAAAATAAGAGATGGAGAAGAAAGGCGCAGTGATCACCCCGTGACCCTATGAAGGTGACCGTTCAGGGGACCCAGCCTGCCTTACGCAGGAGACAGAAGATGATGCTGGTCATAAAAAGACGATCTTTCCTTAGAGGAAAACCAATCAAGGGCCACTAGGCAAGCTGAGAAAACAGTAAGAGTTCAGTTTACAGCAGGAGGTAAAACCTTAAAGGCCAGGGAGCCTGGGACAGACGTACACGTGGGTGCAGAGCCCACCTGAGACTCCTGAACCCCCTGCTGGGCTCGCCCCTTCCTGAGCAACTCTATTCTCCTGGGCCAACGCTCGAGCCCGGGACACAGTAATCTTTCTACTTTTTGCCAGAAAGACCATTTAGTCAGGAGACAGTTATCACAACCTCAGGCCCTTCTCTCCTGTCTCAGCCCCCCCCCCACCGGCAGCCAGGCCCCGGCCACAGCTATTCCCGCAGGGTCACGGGCGGAGAGCTCTCGACCCCTCCACGTGTGGGAGAGCCCGTGGGCACGCGCCCCCAGCCCACTCAGGCGCTGTCACCCCAGAACGAGGTTCCTTTACTGAGGGGCGAAGTCTGGCACTGCAGGGAGACACCTGTGACCTGCCCAAGACCACCAGGGGGTTTAACTCCTGAAATGGCCACACAGCAGGTCTCCTCGGAAGGGACACCTGAGGCTGCTTCTGCAAGTGGGGACCGGGCATGGCGGCAGAAGTTCCTACCTACCTTTAGAGATTTCTCCGTTCTCACTGAGGCCCCCACAGAGGGAGAGGGTGACGTCGGGCAGGTCCATGGCAGAATCCGAGAGGCACTCGGTGCCACTATCAGCAGCCGCGCTGCCCACTGACTGCGGAGACTGGGAGCCGGACAGCGTGTCCAACTCGGGCCACTGCCTGGAGCCGGGGTCCGAGTCACTGTGGGGAGAGAGGACCCACCTCAGTACACCCTCCCGTCTTTGCCTCCTGACCACGCAGCCCTCGGGGCGCTGGAACCAGTCAGCTCCCTGCGCAAAGGAGCAGACTGCCCTGCACACAGACAGCTTTTCTTAGGGAGTGTTCAGTCACTTCGTCAGTGACATTCACAATAACCTAGTCACACCACTGAGGAATGAACTGACTACGGTAAATATGACACAAAAATCACCGCTGTCATTCACGGTGACACCAACTCTTCCATGATGGCCGTTCTGATTTAAATTAGAGGGGTAAGTGAGTCAGAAGCATTTATTTACATTTCCATGATGAAAATAACAGAGTAATTAAGCAAAATCGAATGTTTGGAAATCTTTTGATCCTAACTTCCTAGAAAAGTCTGTGGTACTATGTACATCCTGTAGAAAATCACTGTAGTTCAAGGGTGTCTTATTTTAAAAACAAGGATTTTCTAAACTCATCTGTTACTTTACAAAACAGAACAAAGAAATTAACCAAGTGAAAATTCTCAGGAGGCAAGACACACCTCAAAAAAGAAATATTCTGAGAAACTAGAAATAAACTGTTCTTACACAAGTGAGGGCCAGCACTAAAGACGAGGTTATTCAGTATTTTCCCTTTTCTAGATGACAAGGCGCAGACGCCAGGTTTAGAGGCTGAACCCAAAGGAAACTTGCTGTAACGGAGCATCAGCTCAAGAGCAAAAGAACATGGAAACAGCACCTTGAGTCTCTTAGTCATGAGTCTCCACTGCTCTGCACCTTCTGAACGGACATTTACTGTCGCACTGAAATACAGTCCCAGAATTTTCAAACTAATTTTATTCAAAAGACCAGTGTATTAATGTATGCCATCCAGGGTAGTTCGGGGGAAAAACCCTCAAATTTGAGCACTGGGTGGGAACAGAGAAGTCAGTCTCAACACTGCCAGGTTCTGCATCTGAACCTTTCAAGAAAAGATTTAAGTTTTTGGAAATTCTCTCTCTTCAGACCAACGTACACCCATAGCAGCACAATATTGAGATTAATCGGATCAACAGAATGTGCTCCTCACTGGAAATGGTGAAAAAGCCAAAGCCACGTAAGGCAGCAAAACCTGCTGTTGCGCTGGGGCCCAGAGGCAAGGCTGCCCCCGGGGTGAAACGCCGACACCCACGTCTTCATCCTCCCGGGTGCACGGCTGGTCCCCTTACAGCAGGTGTGGCCACACGATCAGATGACTGAGCTGTCCGCGTGGACAGAGGCGCGGGCTGCGTGGGCTGCGTGGGCCTGGCCCCTGAAAACCCAACAGCTCACCAAACCCACGAGAGTGATGTGATTTAAAAGTAAAACTTAGCTCTAATTAAATACTGAATGTTTAGTCAAGACGGCAATGACCACGATGATAAAACAAACGCTTATGAGCATTTCAACAACCTCACTGTCTCCATATATATTGATGAGTATTGTCTAAAGAACCACTGAGTTGGAGAGGCAAGAAGCTTGCTTGGTGAATGACCCCAAATGGTCAGGCTGTAACGGACGGAGAGGCCCCACCGCAGCAGTCACGCTCCCCGTTTTTTAAAAGGGAAACTAAGGGGTCTGTCTTAGGAATCCCAGTGTAAATAATGATTAAGGACTAGGAAGTCGGAAACAAAGTGCTAATTCTCAGACAGCTTACGTTGCAACTTTCTTATTCGGGGGCAAAAAAAAAAGGACCAGCTTCATTTCTCTCACCTTGAAAGCCCAAGTATCGCTTGAAATGAAGTGGCTTTTTGGAGAAAATGTAGGGCAGAAAGCGAGGAAGGAGTTTTAACAATCTTCCAAAAATATCTGTAAAAATTTAAGTTATCTTCTTACTGACCCCATCTTTCTATTTTAAGTAAACACTGAAGACGTGCTTTTCAGTGATGTGCTGTGAAATGTTGAATTACGTGTCTATGGCTCAGCACATTCAAGCTGTGCTTCTCGTGGGGAAAAGTAAACTGCTTTTTGTAATCACAGGGTATTATAACGGAATTTCCCTAAGAATGCAAATGAGCTGGGGAAACGGTACAAGCCCATCATTTCTGAGATCTCAGTGTCACTCCAGGGGAGAGTCATGGAGGGGGAGGGTGACAGGCTCAGAGCCCCACGGGCGCTCACCAGGCCCAGGCGCAGGCGCGCTGAGGAGGGCGGGCGCCCTCGGTAAAGCGTGTCTGAATGAAGGTATCTTACCTTTAAAACCCACGAATGGAACTAACGCTAGTGAGCAGCGGTGCTAACGTGAAGTCACCTCTGCGGTCACGCCCTTATGCAGGCTTGACCAGGGTACCTCTTCTCACCACATTCAAAATTTCTTCATAAATAGATAAATCATTAATTTAAAATCACCACAGGCAAAACCACACACACACCCCTTCTGAATTTCCCAACATCTGGAGCAATCCTCCAACTTAGCGAAGGACACTGTCCCCTTGGCTCCTTTTCCTCAGACAAAATGTTTTGCTCTAAAAGCAGCCAGACTCCTTCAGAGCCGTCCACCCTCCAATACAAGGTTCACTACCTTTTGGGGAAATAGAGAGCGGCAACCTCAGGTTCCAGGGCCTTCAGGTCATCCAGGTAAATGTCTTCAGGTCCTTGGTGCTGGCTTCTCTTGTGGACAGCTGTTTTTACAAGAAAAACACAGCAGAGATGAGAACGTGGCTATTCTCCATTTACAACTCTGCTAGAAAACAAAGGCTTGCAAAGAATAAAACCGGCTGTGACTGGAATCGAGTTGTATTTTTAAAGTGTCAGCTAGCCCTTTCCCTCGGGTTGGTTCTCAGCCACCCACGTGAATGGAAGAGGACTTCGGGCGTGCACACCTGGCAGCTGCGCAGTAAACACGCGCGAATCCTGCCTTCTCCCACTTGTTCTTCCGTGAACCGTGCTGAGCCCTGAATCACTGACACTTAACAGTAACTTTTTTCTATTTATAGCGTGAACAAGCATGACCGAACCTGACGGGCTCGCCAGCCAGCACAGAGAGAGAGGCCACTAGTCTGAGGCCACGAGGGGGGCTTGTTGGGGGACAGGGTACTCAAGAGGTGACTGGGGAGAGCAGGACCCTCACCCCGAGCAAAACGGAAAGCCAGGGGATCACGTTTAGCGCCACCAACAGTGGGACCCTACGAGATGCCGCAGGAAGTTACCTGTGCAGCCCACGAGGTAACCTTCAATTAAAAAAGAGACTATGTGACCCAAATCTAACTGCGCCTCCAGAGCTGTGCTGCCCACCAGTCACCAGCCACACGCGGCTGCCGCGCACCTGGCCTAAGCGAGATGTAGAATGTGCCGGAAAACATGAAGAACACACATCCAATTCCCAAGACTGACTATGAGAGACATAAACACCGCCGCAACTTCTGTGCCGATTACTTGTTACAACTGCAACCATCTGGATTTACTGGCCTGGACAGAATTTATTAGTAAACCTAATTTCACTTGTTTTATTTTTACTTTTTTAATGTGAGAAGGCTTACGCTAAGTTCTAGTTTAAGAAAATACAAGAATGTCACCTTGAAAAAAAACCACCAGATAC